TATGACAAAATAACCATTTGAAACAAGATAAATGGTCTATGCTTAATTTCATGAAGTGTGCGATTAATCACAGAAAAAGGGTGTGATTAATCAGATTAAAAATTTGAATCTATTGACAGCCCTTATATATTTATATATATATATATATATATATAAAATAGTATATTAAATATTTAATTTTAGACTGGCGAGTAAACTAAAAAATTTACTAGCCAATGGCAATTATTTTGCCAAGGTGTCCGTAGAGGACTGTTATGTAAGACTATTTGTTAAGTATATAAAATTAAAATTAAAAAAGGTGTGATACTGACCATGAATGAGTGATCCATTGAGCCATTGTATGTAGTAGTTTTTTGGTAGGGAGAGCAGGATCTCATTACTGATTATAGAAAATGGTAAGAGAAGGACAGCCCCTCCAGACACTGCCAGTGTGAATGTACACAGGTACATACTGAGAAAAAGTGGAAACAAAGTAAAAAGTTAGTGAAAAGTATGTCAATACTTTTTATACTTTGTTAATGATTTTTAATCAGTTTTATTTTCCCATTTAAGGTGATATAATTATGTAATAATATGGTGTTACATTAAGAAAACAAGTGACTACAATTCAAGGTACAGTGGACGATTTTATAAGAAAATGTTAGACTAAAGTTTCTCTGATATTAAGTTGTATATAATTGGATCCTTTAAATGCACAATAAAAAATTAGTACTTGTTATCATGCCCGATATGGTGAATATCAAACAACTCACGATATTCTGTTGACGATGGCATCCTCATCTTCCTGGTCATCTGTTGGCATAAGAGAACAACATAAAATCAAACAATAAACCAGACACAGATTCAAAGTAATTTTGTTTTTGATAGAGATTATGTTCCTAGTGCATAGTCCTGTGACGCTCTATCTTTATCAGAGGTGTCAGACAGTCAGCTGTTTTATTGTAATTCAGCATAAAGTTCTTTACTGTGGATTTGTACAGCCTCAGCTACAGAGGACACAGAAACGTGACAGATGGTTTAATAAGTCTAAAGCATGATTTCTCTTCATTTAACTGAAAGCTACTGGAAAACAATACTGGATAATCATAAATCACAAACATGTGAATAAACCTTTACAATCAACCAGCCAGATGGAGGCTGTCAAGAGTCAAAGTGGGTTAAAGAAAAAAAGAAAGAAAAGAAAGGATAAGAGAGAGATGAATAGAAAGCGCAGAATAACCACTCTAAACTAATTACATAAACTGCAGTAACTGAATATTCAGACCCTTGAAAAAGCCTCTACTTGAGGCCATATAGAGCTTTATAGTCATGCTTCACAATAGCAGCTCAGCTCAGCTGTACTTTTATAGAAACATGAGGCTTAAGAACAACCTACTTTCACCTGCGATCACGCTCTCCACAGGGGTTAGCTGACGTTAGTTATGCTACTTTTAAATGGGAGGGCATGACCTGATCAGGAACTAAATTTGTCCTCGTAACGGTTTGTGTAAGGAAGATTGGAGGTGGCAGTGCCTTGTAGGGCTGCACGATATTGGAAAAAACTCACATTGCGGTATTTTTTTTTCTGCGATATATATTGCGATATGAAAAAAAAATCAGATGACTAGATAGCTCTATTTGGAAAAAAAAAAATCAGTGATTGGGGTGATTTTGTAGGCGAGTAAATCAGCACAGGAAATAAACAAATTACAAGCATAGATAAATAACAGAACAAAGATACAAATTAAATAAGCTGTGCTTTATATTTTCAGGTAAGTTTAACAGTATTCGGGTACAGAAATTGAATAATCAAATGTAAAATAACACTGCATAGTTTTCACTATAAATTAAATCTAATAAATCTGTGTTAAAGCTACAAAAGTGAGTTTTCTTTGTGTTTTGTTTGATTAACGTTCATGACACAGAAAGCAACAGGAACATTAAACTGCTGTGAACCAATATACTGTTACACATCCATTTTCTTTCTCAATTGTTTACCTTCACCTAAGCCATAAGCAACTGTGTTTACAAGGATATTTGCAGAGCATAGTATTTCAGGCACAAATAGACGCAGAAGTGAATGGAATTCGGTGTTCACGTGCATCTGCGTGGCTCTCAAGCCCCGTTCACGGTGTCTACACCGGACGCAAGCGGCACGGTGCGACGCGACAAAATACAATAGAACCCATTTTAATCAGTGATGCTGTGTGACTGACTACACTGGATGGGGCGCCACCATAGACTGTATAAAAACACACGATAAATCCCCGACAGTAATGCCGAGTTCACACTGCATGATTTTCAAACTCGTCGGATCGCCGTTGTTTTCACACTGCGTGACTATCTGGGGTAGCATTCAGTTGCTGCTGTGTTCACATTGCACGATGGATCGGCGACAGGACATTTCACATTGCATGACTTCACAATAGGAAGAATCGCCGACAGCTCTGTCTGGTCGGCAAACTACGTTTCACAACAAAACACACGTGAGAAGCGATAAGGAAATAACGCGAGAACCCGCGTGCGTCAGACCGGAGTTCTTGAGCGAGACTGGAATTATTTAAAAAATATATATATAGCCCGCAAATTGTCTGTGAGCTGATTTCCAGCTACAAGGAGAAAAAGAAAAACAGATTATGCAGGAGGGAGATGGAGGGAACAGGGATTGGGTGTTCTGCAAAGAGTTGGAGGTAAATAATTTTGCAGTAACTGTTATGCTGATGTTGTGGCTGGTCAAGCAAATGTTTGTGCTTGTTTCTGTATGATATAATTTACAGATATTTAGCATGCCAAATATTTTACAGGCGTCTGCGACATGTCTGCGATTCTCTCAGATCGCATCTTTGACAATTCACACTGCGTGATTTTCACTCACGTGAACGAGCACCGATTTGCCTCCGATTTCGCAAAACCTGTCGGCGAGTGAAAAATCGGGCTAAAATCGTGCAGTGTGAACTTGGCATAAAGTGATACCTCGTTTATGACGTACTCACACAAAATTCAAATGATATGCAACGGTCGCTTTGTCGCATCTGGTGTAGACAGACTTTGGGGCCGTTCACATGTTGCGTCAAAAAACGCGTGGAAAACGCCAGCCGCGCCGCTCTCCTTCTTTCCAAAGCGCTCGGGAGCTTGCGCTTTCGTGGCGTCTGCCATTGCTAAGCAACCGTGACCTGCGCTCTCCACGACGACGCGGAAGTGTCAACAAAGGATAAACGGATTTCCAGCACTGAAAATCACGTGCAGTAGCTCTGCTACTAAATGTAAATGCTACTCGTCTGTACAGCTGTCGCGTCTGGTGTAGACACCGTGTCTGTGTGTGAGCAAAGAAAACAATCAGTATAAATATAACGATGCACAAAGTTCAAATGATTTGCAAAGGTCGCTTTGTCACGTCCAGTGTAGAAAGACTTTGGGGCCGTTCACATGTTGCGCCTTTTCGCATTCTTTCCAAAGCGCTCGGGAGCTTGCGCTTTTCGTGGCGTCTGCCGTTTCTAAGCAACCGTGACCTGCGCTCTCCGCGACGATGCGGAAGTTTCAACAAAGGATAAATTGATTTCCAGCACTGAAAATCCCTTGCAGTAGCTCTGCTACTAAATATATTTAAAATGGGTATCTCTGTACAGCTGTCGCATCCGGTGTAGACGCCGTGTCTGTGTGTGACTGAGCAAAGAAAACAATCGCTATAAATATAACGATCAGTAAACTAAACATCGCACATCCTGCGATGTGACTATCGCGGATGCGCACATCGTGATATCGATGCTGAAACGATATATCGTGCAGCCCTACACCGAAGACAACAATTTAAACCGATTGAGCAGATGTGCAGTACACGCAGAGTAATTCTTTCTTAGATGTATCAGATTTTAGCTGAAGATTATTTGTTCAGAGTGCACATCAAAGTTCTGTTGTGCTTTTTACTGGTATCTGTAATGAGAATATGTTTTGTTTTGCCCACTGCTCCTGAAAATAGATCAGCTTTCACGTTGTGAATGGTCACCTAATGGATCGGGGACTGGCATAAGGCCAGTCTGGGATCCCTGGGCTTTTCCCTTTCCCATCATGACCAGTCTGAATCAGGTTAATCTGAGAAAACACGAGATGTTTTTATGTATCTCCTCCATTTTAATTAGAGGTCCCTTAAGAAACAGATGGAGCACATCCTGCGATGTGACTATCGCGGATGCGCACATCGTGATATCGATGCTGAAACGATATATCGTTCAGCCCTAGTGCCTTGTGTTATGGAGTTGGAAAATGCTCAAAAGAAAGTGTACTATAAGGTGTTACAGAGTTCTAAATGGTGTAAACCCCTTAAAAGTGTGCAAGCAAGCACACTTACTATTAATCAAAGTGTCCATTTGTCACCTAGGAATTTGATCTAAACTAAATCTGAGGAGCTCACAAGTATTATTAAGTTATAAACAGCAAATATATATAAATATTAAATATAGTTTATATTTAAATATACATAGTAATATACTATACATGGTAAATATTATAAATACTATTGCATTTAAATAGTGCAACAGTTTGATCAGAAACAGAACTACTTACCACTTTTTTTCTTGTAGCGTGAGATGACGCAGTACGATACAATGTACAGCACGGCAAACAGGAGGAAGCAGACCTAGAAACACATGGAACAAGATGGAGTTTTCAAACACTTCTGTTCTGCAAGGGCTTTTACATTGTAAACTTTTTATTCATACCCTTTTTAACTAAAAGCATCATCTTATATCAACTGAAACTGAGTAAACAAGAAATTTTACCCAAGTAAGATTTTGTGTACTGTGTGTCTAGAAATTCACTGATTCCAAACGTAAGTCTTTTTTATTTATTATATACAGGGCTTGACATTAACTGCTGGATTTCAGCAGTGGCGGGTAACTCCTACTAGCCACTTCGGCGGGTTGAATTTTCTATACAATAACTTAGGGCTGTGCAAAAAATCGAATACTACACAGAGCCGTAGTTCACTGACAAGCTACACAAAATCACGTTCAAAATCGTCAATGAATCGCCTGCGATTCAAATGCGTCCTCCGTTTCTCCGGCAAATGAAGGATACATGAGATGGATCCTTCGCAGCCTACCCTATCCCAGAATTCATAGCGTGCCGGTGACGACGGGACTTTTATTCAAACAAAATAGCAAGTGATGGTTCTGTGGCTGCCAACGAATACACTTATAAATGTAAGTATTGTGTTTTAATTTGCTAAAATAACTAGCAAAACAAATGTTAAAAGTCAGGGGTCTTAAAAAATGTGAACAGATTCATTTGTTAGGTGGTCTGAGGCAAAAGAACTTGTATTTATTAAATTAGAGGGCTGAATTTGATAATTCCTGTACTTAGGACAAAAACTCTGCCATTGTGGCTCGGAGGTAAGGCATTACCCATCTGTAATATTTCCACTAGGACCTCTTGTGTTCACAACAATTAGCCCTCACCCATATATAAAGCCCACAACAACAAGACAAGTATGCCTATAAGGCTACTTAATAAGTAGACAAGTCTTTAACTTGTATTTTTATTTTATTTCATTTTTTATGATTTATTTATTTTGTAGCAAGATATGTCCACAAATGTTTTAGGCAAACTTGATGATCCAGAAATATGATTTTTGAAGTATTTTGTATGCACGTCCTGCTGTCATATTTTCTAACCTTAAGATTGCAGCCCTGTCTTAATAATTTTCTTTCCTTTTTCTCTTCTTTTAGGACAGTTTTGGAGAAAATGGTGCTTCTGGGAAACTTAAAAATGAAATGAATTAAGTTGTTTATTACTTTTGTAATTTAAGTTATTTGTAAATGAAGCAAAGTAATTTATGTGTATTGTTTTAGTTGAAACTTGTAAATAAAAGATGAGAAGTAGTTCTGGAAATTGTTAATTTTTGCAAAGCAAGTTATAATTTGTAAATGACAGAAATTCTTCTATAC